AGAGAGAGAGAGAGAGAGAGAGAGAGAGAGAGAGACCTAGCTACTGCTATTGACCCTAAGGTCCTAATGGAACTACTCACACATGGTCATGGAGGTAACAAGGTTGATGAAGAAGCCTCCGGCAATGGATTCCCCCTCTTAGAAAGTACCGAAACATGCCTCCTGATTGGATCTCCTTGGAAAAGAAGCTTGCGACGATAGAAAAATTCGGATAAAATGGTTCCAAGGGTTTCGGTATTTATAGGAATTATAGGCAATGGAATGGACATATGGCGGTAACTGTGGGGCCATGTGCTTTGGGCGCGCCACCATGCCACGTGGAGGCCTTCTTAGCCCCCTTGCTTCCCTTCAGTGCTTTATGGAACCTTCATTGCCTAAAAAAATTGTATTAAATCTTCAGGTTTATTTTACCTCCGTAGATATTGATTTTCTGAAAAGTCAAAACATGCAGAAAACACAACTGACACTATGCACTAACTTAATAGATTAGTACCAAAAATATTATAAAATGTTATAAAAGTATACAAAAGTGATATTATAATAACATGAAACAATCAAAGTATAAGCATCCCCAAGCTTAGTCCCTATCCGTCCTCGAGTAGGTAGATGATAAAACAATGTAATCTTGATCAACTGATGTAATGTGTTTATGAACTCGGGATAAAAGTGATTCAAGGCAATAATCTTTAATGGATGGCAAGCAAGTAGCATCAAAATGTGTAAACAAAATTACTCTTGCTTTTCATGGTTCAATGTGTCCATGTAATACCAATACTCATATTATCATGTTCATAGTTCCAATCACTCAAGGTTTTATCATATTCGAACATTTTACCATAACACAACCCAGAGCTTCAGTCAAATAATCAAACCCAGATATTAGTATGAGGAGTATGGATTGTCATGCAAAGGATGCACTAGAGATATAAGTGTATGGAAGCTCTCCATATGAACTAAGTGGGTCTGCATCCAACTTGCTTGCTCACATCCCCGAGCATTTGAGGAAGTTCATCATCGGGATATGCAAGTCATGTTCTATAATGTATAAGATCCCACTAGTATGAAAATGAAACATTTGAAAACTCCCTTTACCTTTTTTTGCCAGAGATGATAATACTGATGATGCTTTTCAATACTATTCAGTGTTACTTTATATGCCATCATAGAGATGATACAGTACCTTTATTTGCATTTGGATGTAACACTAATAGCCGAGGCTGACTTTTCAACCGCCTTCACATTCTATCTAATAAATAAAGAAAGGAAATTTTTGTTTTTGTCACTCTAGTTTTTGTTATTTTTTTTCTTATGTCACTCTATATTTTAACATTTCACTTTTGCCACACTTAGTTTTCGATAATTATTACACTTGCCACTCCATGACATATTTTTTTTTCAGAATAGCAATTGTGGTACATTGTCAAAAGCAGAGTGGCAAAAGCGAAGTAAAACTATTTTGCTTTTGCCATAGAATGACAATTATGATAATTGTAAAAGCTAAGAGGGGCAAAACTGACAATATCTAGAGTGGCATAAGGAAAACAGTTTATCTAATTCACATCTAGATATTTTTTAAGGATTTCACATTTAAACTTCCACAAATATATAATGCAGCAACAAGAAACAAAAAAGACTAGGATAAAAAAAAGACCACAAACAGAGAACTGGGGAATGGGAGTTGAGGGGTAAGGAGATTAAAAATCCATTGTTTGATTAGAGGGAATGGGAGTTTAAGTGGAAAGTGGACTGGGAGTTGAGGAAGTCAATTCCCACCGATTTCTTCTCAGGTGGTATCCTGTTAATTCGTAAGCAGAGTTCTATCCCACGTCAATTCTCATCATATGCCAAACAAGGGAATGGGAGTAAAAATCTATTTCCTATACCTAATCCTTTCATAAACACCCTTGTGCAAACTCCCATTCCCTTGCCCAAGTGTTTACCAGCTGGAAAATTGGCAAAAAATAGAGTGGGGCAAAAAAAAAAAAATTTCCCTGATAACAACACGTAGGATCGGCCGGCCAGCCACGGCGAGGAAGAGGAAGAAGCAGCCACTTGCCCGCTCCTGCACTGCACAGCTCGCCGTCGTACTGCTGTCCTGTTGGTCGCGGCAGCGGAAGAGGCACATACAGGCAAGGCCCAATCCCGGCCGCTGCTTCGGTCGCCGTCGTGGGAGTGGGAGGGAGGGAGGGAGGGAGGGGATGGAGGCTGCGGTGGCGAGCGCTCTGACCAAGGAGGTGGTGCTGAAGCTCGTGGCGCTGCTGAGCGAGAAGCACAAGCTGTCGAGGGGCCTCAAGGACGACATCCGCTTCATCCGGACCGAGCTCGACATGATCTCCAGCGCCAGGGACAGCCACATGGCGGCAGGGCGGGATCCGGCGAGCAGCTCCTCGCGCATATCCATGGAGGAGATGCGTGATCTGGCGCACGACATCGAGGATTGCATAGACCGGTTCCTGCCCTGCCCCTGCGTGGCCTGCCAGGGTCAGGGCGAGGCCGCGTCCGTCCTCCGCCGCGTCAAGAAGGCGGCCACCAGCGCCAGATCCCGGTTCGCGGCCGAGATCCACAAGCTCCGGAGCAGGCTCAAGGACGCCCACGACCGAAGGGTCAACTACCAAGCAGTCAACGGATCCTCCGCCGGAGCTTCTCCGGCGGCCGCGGACACGGGGGCGGAGACCGACCCCGTGGGCATCGACGAGCCAAAGCAGGAGCTTGTCGACATCTTGTTGCAGCAGACCGGGCCGGGGAAGCCCGGTGTGATATCCATAGTCGGGTTCGGCGGCTCCGGGAAGACCACGCTCGCAAGGGCAGTGTATGAGTGCCCCGGAGTCGTCCGGAGATTCCCCTGCCGCGCCTGGGCTGTGGCCTCGGAGCACAGGGATGCCGAGGGGCTCCTGACCACGATACTCCGGCAACTCCGCACCACCGATGCGCCGCTGCCCCAAATTTCCATGGATGGTTTTCTGCGGACTACAGAGTGAGGATCTCCTGCACTGAACTCCACCCTGTCTGCATACAAAAATCACTATTTTCTTTTGCACACGCCGCAAATTCACCACTCTCTGTTAAAAGTTAGTACAGCTTATTAATATGAACATGGACAGTTTGTGTGGGTACCTGCCATCCTCATTTTTTATTTTTATTTTGAGTAGGACCTGCCATCCTCATTAAAAAGAAAGAGATGTATTACTGAATTGTTGTGAAAACAGAAGTAGTAACTGTACTTAGCCATCTGTTGTTTTTTGAAATGTACTTAGCTGTATTGCAAGTTTAGTTGGTCATTCAAACCGATTTCCCACATCAATACATCTTAGGCATTTACTTGTTGTGCATGCTCATTTTAACTAATTGATTACTAGTACAATCCAAGAGCCGGCTATCCTAAACAAAAACAGTGTCATATCCCTCTGTTTCCAAAAGCAAAACTTAAACCCTTGCCATAGATTCGTTCCTGTTATGCACATATGAACAATCGATTCTGTGTACATTTTAGTGCTAATGTAGGTTTGGTCTGCATATAATGAACCGGTGAATTGGCAACCAGTTGCTTACCAACTTATTCACTTGTCAATCTGTCTGCCAGGTGCTTAATTGTAATCGATGACATCAACAAGCAGAACTGGGATGTCATCAAGTCCATCTTACCCAGGGAAGCAAAAAGCAGAATTATAGTTACCACGGCTCTCCAGTCAGTAGCTAATGCTTGCAGCTCAGGTGACGGTTATGTTTACAAGATGAGCATTCTTAACGCGGAGCACTCCAAGGTTTTGCTAATGAAGAAGGTTTTCTTCCAAGGATGTTCACCTGAACTGGAGCGGGGTTCAACAGCAATTGTAGAGAAGTGTGACGGCCTTCCACTTGCTCTTGTGTGTATGGCCAAGTTTTTGCTAGGCGAGAATGAGCTCACGGGAAGCCACTGTGCGCGAGTTTGCCACAACCTCGGGCATCATATGGAGAAGGAGGCAGACTTCACAAAACTGCAACAGGTTCTTGTAAATAACTACAGCAGCCTGTCTGGTTATCCTCTGAGGACCTCCTTGCTATACACGAGTGTGTTCCCAAATGGTCGCCCAATCAGGAGGAATACTTTAATCAGGCGATGGCTAGCTGAAGGGTATGTCCAGTGTCAATATAAACGCAGTGATCTGGAGGTAGCAGATGAAAACTTCCGGGAACTTATTGACCGGAATATCATCCGGCCGATCGATGCTAGCCACAATGCAAAAGTGAAGACGTGCAGAACTCATGGAATCATGCACGAGTTCATGCTGCACAAGTCAATGTCTGATAACTTCATCACATCTCTTCATGATCAAAACCGAAGTAATTTCCGTCACCTGTTCATCCAAAACCATGCAAGTGGCAGCACCTTGAGCTCGAACCAGCGTACAAGTCCAGCAAGCGATGATGCAGCTGGCAGTGAGAAATTCCGCGCCCGGTCTCTGACCATCTCTGGGGATGCGGGAGAAGCTGCTTCTGAGTTTTGCAGGTGCGAGCTGCTGCGAGTGTTGGATCTGGGAGAATGCAATGATTTGGAGGACAGTCATCTCAAGGACATACATAAGCTGTGGCATCTAAAATATCTGAGCCTTGGGGGCACTATCAGCAACCTTCCGAAGAAAATTGACAAGCTACACTGTTTAGAGACCCTGGATCTGAGGAAGACAAAGATAGAGGTATTGCCAGTGGAAGTCATTGGGTTGCCTCACCTAGCTTACCTGTTTGGAAAGTTTAAGTTTGGGAAAAAGGACTTGAGAAAGAGCGAAATAGCGGAGTTCTCGCAAAGAAAAAGTAAGTTGAAGTCTCTTGCAGGATTTTATGCAGATGGAAACCCTGGGTTTCTACAACTGATGGCTCATATGAAAGAACTGAAAAAGGTTAAGATATGGTGTGAATCCACTGGCGCAGACAACAAAGGCTTGCCTGACATTTCAAAGGCAGTTCAGAAGTTTGCTCAGGATGGCATGGACACAACCGGCGTTCGTTCTCTGTCACTCAATCTTGGGAATACCATGGGTGACTTCCTGGGTTCTATTCAAGAATATTGTTATCTTAGCTCGCTGAAACTGCACGGCCAGCTTAGTGTATTGCCTCAGTTTGTTACATCCTTATGTGGCCTCACAGAGTTGTGCCTTTCATCGACCAATCTGATGGGGCATGATCTATCGAACCTGCGCAAGCTGCGCTACTTGCTTTACCTCAAGCTGGTTGAGGCTGACCTTGGGAGCTTCACCATAGACAATGGGGACTTCCCAAGCCTGCGACGCCTATGCCTTGTGGTGAAAATGCCCATCCTCCCTGCAGTCAAAGAGGGAGCACTGCCGTACCTTGTCTCACTCCAGCTGCTCTGTAAAGACCTCTTTGATCTTTCAGGCATGAGGATCGAGTTCCATGATTGTCTTGAGGAAGTTGCCCTCGATTCTATGGTCAGTGCCAGAACAGCAGAAATGTGGGAAGCCGCAGCGAAGAAGCATCCAAAGAGACCAAAAGTTGTGTTTCTCAAAAGGATTGATCCGAGCGAACCCGAATCTGCTGTGAAATACGTCACGGCGGATGGGCCGACACGTGAGAAATGCATAGTCGATTCGCCTCAGTCAGGTTCTGTGAGCAAACACGGTCCGTATCTGAAGAAGACGGTTGTTTCAGAACCCCCTCGAGCTGCATCCGAGCTGTCCAGTGCTGCGAACGGTGCGATGCCTCCTTCTGCAAGGTGACGACCATTCCGTTTTTGTTTTGTCTGCAGATTGTATTGTTGTATTTGGGGACTCCATTGGTGAAATAGGTGATTTGATGATTGCGCAGCATATGTTGAAGAATGAAGACGCCGCCATTGTTGCGATGCTCCCAAAGGTGCAGGAGGACCTGTTGGCGTCGTTGTGCGCTGCAGCAGGACCTGCGGGCAACAACTTGAGCATGGAGTACCATGCATGGGGATGCAGCGTTTCTTGTGTTTTCTCGGGCAGAAGTGTTGCTGGGGTTCACCATGCAATGCAGGCCGCCAGACCATGGTAGTTTCAAAAACCAGACTCGACCGGCGGTCCAACCGGAAGAATCGTGAACCGATGCCTTGGTCTTTTATAGAAACCAAAGAAATAAAATGGTGCGTAAACTTGGGATGGAACCCTTGACCTTGCATGGATTTTGTTCCCCTTGCATCTGTGATCTGGACCATGTTCTGCACGTGTATTGTTGTCCACATAATAGCAGGTTGCATTTCCGCATTTTGGGATTTTGGTCTGGGTTGAAGCGGTTCGGTTGCCAATGCATTTCCGTATTTTGGGATTTTGGTCTGGGTTGAAGCGGTTCACGCGGTTGCCAACATTCGGTGATGTGGTATTGTGGTTACGTTACACCCAAATGTGGTGAGCTTATTCGCTATCACCCTTATGACTGCTGCCATTTCATGTCATGTACGATCACATGTTAACACTTAACAGCAATATTGCAGTGACGACTAATTGGACGAAGATCCACCCACTTAACCCGATATAATCTCTGCTAGTGCCTACTTTACGATTGCTCTTCTCGTTGATCTTTAACCTGGAGTAATCATCTTTCGTCTCCTCCTTAGTCTTAAACCTTCTACTCCCTCTGTTCCTAAATATTTGTCTTTCTAGAGATTTCAACAAGTGACTACGTACGGAGCAAAATGAGTGAATTAACACTCTAAAATGTTTATATACATCTGTATATGGTAGTCCATTTGAAATCTCTAAAAAGACAAATATTTAGGAACGGAGGGAGTATACAGCAGCTGTTCTTGTAACCGTTCACTTGTTCATGACATGTTTGTCATGAATCACAGACTTGAGTGAAATGCCCATCCTCTTGTATTCTTTTCTTCCTCCTATCTTATACCCCTTCGAACAGAATAATAACATGAGGCTGCGCTCATGACAGCCATGTCTATTATGAGGCTAGAGCTCGTTCTGGAGCTTGGAGGCTGGCGAGGGGTGGCCTGCTCCGCCACCGGTGACCTGGAGTGGCTGTCCCTGCTTTCCTCTATGGTAGATCCGCCACTGCTTCGGTTGCAATTGTACCATCGACTTTTGACTGTCAGTCCCATCTAGCTATTTCGCAAAATCAGTGCGCGTACACACAGCAGTACGCCCAGGAGATCGAAGACTACCAGTGGACCGCAGATCTACAGTACCATACACATGAGTGTACATGTAGCGATATTGATGAATAAAATCATGACGACAACACAGGGAAAACAACCGGCGGACAGCCTTGTTGTGCTCTCACAAAATCAGGATTCACCAAGTTTTTACAATATGCCTGGAGGTGGTCTAGTCCAGATGCCTTTTTGATTCAATTCGATGTTCTCTTTTTTTGCCATTGATCACATCAATATACTACTGTCTTGCGATTTTACGGGCCATTGCGCCGGAGATCCTGAAACTTTGTGCATGGGCAACGTCTCCAGTTGCAGAATGGTTATCTGGTGGGTGATCTGGGACATGGTCACACCAAGGAGACACACTCCACGTCATTGCATGTGCAAGCAGCGGCAGGAGTCGCCGCCTCCTCATTTTCATGACCAGATGCCGAGATAATTGCCCTCCCAGACGCCATCAGTTCTGAGGGATAATATTTGTTGTGTTTGGCTGAAATGCCCAGTCATGCAGGAGACAGCTTGCAAGAAAATGTAGATCTTTATTTTTGCGGGTGGAGAAAATGTAGATCTTTGATTGGTAGCACTAGCAATAATACCCCTAGCTAGAAAATCAACTGAGTGAGTTCCACATCTGTGAAAAGCCACTCTCAGCTAAGTACTCGAACCCATCTTGAGCAAACACACCACCCTGGGCAGGCGCCTCCCTCTTCACGTTGCCTTGCTCAAACCTGGTGAGCTGGCTCAGCGCGTCCTTGATCGCCTTCCCCATGTGCTGCTGCTCCTGATCGGCAGCCATGGGCGCCATCGCCATCACCGGGATGTTCATCGAGGCCGACGACGACGGGTGAGAGGAGGGGCCATTGGAGAAGCAGGGCACTTGCTCATAACCCTCTAGGTTTTGCACCGTCGACATTCCAGGATGGTCAAAGGCAATGTAGTTGTCAATGAGAGGAGGCAGTGAGGTTGCGGCTGCACTGTCAATGTTGTAGTTGCTCCCTGTGGATGGTTTGGCAATGGTTGTCCTGGTCTTGTAAAAAACCCTACACAAGACCCAGTCCTCCTGTTTAACAAGAAAATATTACACATGAAAATCGTTAGACTGGAAGATGAATGAGTGCATTTGGTATATATATCATATGCATGCATCTGAAGTGATCATGAGATCAAGATTTTGGCAGCAGAATATTTTTGCAAAGGTTGAGTATGAGTTAAAACGATTTATAATTTGTTTTGTAGGAAAATACTGAAATTACTTAGCCATTTTTATCTTGTTCTGGCGAAAACTGTATGTTAGTGACATGGATGCGTTGACAGAAATGATTAAAAATTGGTGTGAGTCGATAATTTGCACATACATCTATATAGTATATATATATTGGGGTGTACATCTAAAAGAGACCAGATCATCCTCATATCTATGTAAGTAGCTGGCATGAGAGTGACCCACATATGAAGAAAGGATCAAGTACAGAACATCAACAGGCAGAACCCGGCCCAACTAATTAGCAACAATCATTAACACAATGAACATATGTTCTGGCTGCCACACGAATTTTCTAAGCAAATTCAGCTAACTATCTGTTCTGGTGTCTTAAGACAAACCACACCAGCTTTTAGACATCTTGCAGTATTATTTTCATGACACTTAATTATCGCAAATTAAGGGAGTTAATTAAAAAATATGTCAACTTGGTGACCTACCTGTATTTTTGGCGCTTCAATTCTACTCTCTAGCTAGCTAGCTAGCTAGATCTTGAATTGAGAGGCCATATGCATGTATAGTGAGCTGGCTGGTCGTACTACATTATCCATTGCACATGTATTATAGGATGAGTTGGCATTCTGGCCAGTCGCCTCCACATGCGAATGTCACGTGAACCGAAGGTTTTTGTTTCTTTAGTCCATACTTCTCATAAAATGTACCAATGTGAAATCAAATCTGTCAAGTTTCATTCTCAATGCCTTCCTTTAAAAAAAGTGCCACGAACATATAGTTTTCTTGCTTGTGTGTACATAATTTTCTGGTGGAATTCCTTGCACTACTCTCTATCCATATGATGCATTATACTATAAGCATCAAATAAGGAACGGATGGGGAAAAGAGTGGAGTATCAAAGTAGTAAGATTAAATTTGCTCGAGATGTATACTTATAATGATGCTTACCTTGAGTGGCAACTTCATCAGATCGCCTTGCCCTTCCTTGCGGAATTCGTGCATGACCCATTCAGTCTTCTTCCCTTTAGGGGCTCTACCTTCATAAAACACCAGGGTTTTTCTCATGCCAACTAGCAACCCTTTCCCGCTTATCGCACGGTCTTTCCCTGTGGCCTTCCAGTAGCCTGATTCAGTTGCTCTATTTGTTCGCTGGCCTGTAGCGTACTTCTTGTCCCTTAAGCTGTAGAAGTACCACTCCTTGCCGCCAATGCATGCGATTTCTGAATACAATCAGGGAGCAAATTAACAAACAATTTTGTAGAAATTAGATGAACTATGAACGAAGTAATAATCTTTTTGGAACCTGCTCAAGATGTGCATCCACTAATCTAATGATGTCTGACTACACTTTTCCATTTTTAAGAGAAAGTCCTACTAACGTTAGAGCCACATTTAAGTAAGGCAGAGAAAAATAACCATTAATAGGTAATTGCATAACAGGGAGAATAATAGATATTTTTGGAACCAGAAGAAAGGAGATCTATTGATTGCGGGAGGCATCTTTCCTATTCTTGTGAGATATATCAATTATACATATCCTATCCTTGCTATATATATGTTCTTTCCATATGGCTTTGTGCATGGTGTGTTTTCTACTAGTAGGCAAAGTGGAAGGCCTCCTTTTTGTGTTAAGTTTGTCCCTATCCGTGGGCTGTGAATTCCCTTTTAGGATCAGGCAAATTGGGGGAATATTAGATGGCATGGGATAACAGGGACAGATGCGGAGAAGGCCAGCAAGGGGCCAAACAAACTCATGGCTGTGAGAATATCCTTCTGTTATGGGGACGGGAAGGCGACAAAAGATGGAGGCAGACAAGGTGTGTGAATTTTGTTCTCATTGTAGAATAATTCACAGAAACTATATGTATTCATCCCTTGATCAAGTCTCGCATGTATGGAATAAGAGGAAAAAATTACTGTGCAAGAATTTGATCTCTCTTCCTCTCTCTACAGTCTACAGTAGTAGTAGTTACTTTGGAGGTCATCTCACTCTGAATATTATCTTGCCTTTGGATCAAGTTTTTTCGAATGGTAATTAAACAAACGGTAATTAGGACCATATAAAGAGGGAGAAAAGCATGGGCACATCAAAAGGATAGGCCAAAAAAGTGAGTAAAGAAAAGAAGAGGAAAGGTGGAAAGGTGGTTTCTAGCGGTATGGGAAGCATGCATGCATAGTTGCAAGTTGCAACTTGATGAGATCGAGATTGTCGTGGTCACTTCAGTTATACAACTCCAGCCACTAGCAGCATGCACACAGCCACCTTAGTTTTGGATGCAACTGAAGGAAACTACACATGCATGAGCGGAAGGGAACAAAGAGAATTGTTCATGGAATTAATGAAGATAGCTAATTGAGCTGCACATAAATACATAGTTGGTCCCAAGATCTTAATTCAAGTTGAAACCAACAGAGCAATACATTTTGATGCATGATTGAGAACCTTGGGACAATCATGCATGCTTACACACACGGACAAATAATTTATTTCTGGGATTTCTTTATTAAAAATGAACAAGGAATTTAATTAGTACAGTGGAGGAAAGAAGACTTGTCTGTTTAGAAACGACCAAATCGTTGTTAGTTCCGTCAAAAGATATACACCGCAGAGATATCATACATGGGATGCGATATATTTTTAAGGGGATTTGGGACGTCATCGACTTCAAATTGAAAGGATAATTACGAATCAGCAGCAGCCAAACGGGAGAAGAAATTAAATCAACAGATAAATCATCCCCGGGACCGAAGTACTCATGCATATGTATGTATGATCCGGAAGACGACGAAGCTAGAACTGATCACACAAGCATATAGACACGCACGCATGCTGGTGTAATTAAGCTACTTGGATATGTATAGGAGTATCTGGATTAGGTCTTACCGGGGAGGTCCCAGGGCTCGATCTTGTTGAGGTCGACGTCGACCATGGCGGGGCAGCCGTAGATGCTCGCCACCGCGGCCGCCGCCCCTCCGGCGCCACCGCCGCCGAGCTTCCTGGACAGGTAGTCGAGCACGAGCTCGTCGTCCCGCGGGTGGAACCTGAAGCCCGGCGGCAGCCTCGCCTCCACCATGCTCAGCGAACTCATCGCCGCCACCACGCACGCAGCTCGCCTTGGATCCCCTCGGATCCCCTCGGATCAAGCGATCAACGAGAGGTACAGAGGACCGACGGCTGCTTCTGCTGCCGATCTCGGCAGTGGGACCAACACAACACAAGAAGCAGCAGCTGGCTCCTGATCGGTATGATTGTACCGTCTACCGAGAGGGATATCGAGGAGGGGCGCGAGGAAGACGAGGGGTATTAATAGGCGCCCGCGCACGGCATGGTCAGGTCAACTGGTTTTTGCGCCGATGCTTTCACAGAGATGGAGAGGGGAGGAGGGGCCGGGAAGGCTACGGCTCTACTACTAGTAGCTGAACTGGTACTACGTATAGCTAGGCAGATGGGATGGGAGTACGTACTCGCCCAGCTGGAGAGACTTTTCTTTTCCTCTCGGTTAGCGTGCCGGGCGCCAGGTGGCGAGGTCCGATTCGCTGGGCCGGTCCCGGCCGGTGGGCGCGCGGGCAGGACGGCTGCGGCCGGGCCGGTGGCGGTGTCACGCTCGCCGGACGTCGCCGGCGGTGACGTGGGCGGGCAGATGCAGTCATGCAGACGAGATGAGGGATGCGGGGCATTTAATTCGAAGCGCGGGCTGGCCTAATCATCATCTAGCGGGCACATATCTTCCGGCTTTGCGGCGTCGCCTAATTCCGGTTTGCGGCTCGGGTGACCGGGAGATAGATCTCCGGGCATGGCGAGTTGGTATGCTGGTATGGGCTGTCGTGCACCCATGGATGGAACTGGAAGGGTGCGTATGTGCGTGCGTGCGTGTTCACATGTGCACACAGAAAGACAGACAGAGAGGGAGGGAGAGGAAGATGTAGGGGTTTGGTTTATGGCATCTCTGATGGTCTGTGTAGTTCGTACAGAATTATTCTTGTCAAGAACTAACAACCTATCGAAATGGATATTCAATTCAGTGCCCAAGCTCATTTGCATTCAGTAAACAGTGAAAAAAGCATAGTAGACAAATTTTTTAAAAAGACTGAATTTGTTTTTATGCAAGATGTTTCGGTGCGCCAGGTGTGTACAAATTTTTGTGCCTAAATGACATTCAAGGAGCTCGTGAAAAAGAAGACAAAATGAGCTACGAACGGTGTTGTTTTCAAAAAGTTTTTCATAGGCCCTGAATTTGTCTTTTTTGTTGAGAGCTACTGAAATGTTCAAACTCCACGAAATTTGGTACGGACTTCACGCACATGAGCATCTCGTATCACAAAAAAGATCAGAAGTTTTGATTTTTTTTGTTCACTATTTTTAATGATTCTACTATTCACACGCGGGTGCGAATGCACTCGAGAGCCAAATATCGAGATGGTTAGTTTCCTTGTGGATGAACCAACCCATCAGGTTTCAAGTACTACTATGCGATCATCTGCATTTGTATTGTGTTAAAAAAAACTACAACTTATCATGCAAATACTTCAGTAGAGTGTGATTAAACTGTTCGATAAAATTGAGAGAACATCTTTTTAAAAGAAAAAAGGATGATAACATTACTCAACCTCTAATGCACACTGACATATATTATTTATTACTAATAATAATGCCTAGCATCGGAGCCGAACACTAGAGTTAGAGAAAATCTATGGATATCCACTTCGGACCTGGCCACACTGAATCACCTTCAAAAGTTCTATAAACCCTATTATTCTGGATCATATTCCACTGTTGAGCGACATGTGAAGTGACAAGGGGTGCAAGCTCTAAGACTTAGAGGGGATCGTCGCTCCAATTCAAGTAAAATTTGGAGCTATAATCCCTAGAGCTGAACTTTGAAACAACACCATCAACTAAGAAATATCGTGTGGACGTCGACACTATCTGATCTAGCCAGATTAGACATCATGGGTTTTCACATAGAGAGAGTGCAAACCTGATGTCAACCGCCAATGTCGCATCTACCTTCATATTGCTCCACTCATGCGGAAGTAACCAAAGGAGAATTCGTGAAGAGAAGACGACATCGCATCGTTTACGGTTCACTGCCATATTGATAGTTGCCACGCGTGACACAACAACGTCTAGCATCTCCCACCACCCGGACTCCACATGCCTCTTATTGGTCCTAGACCAAGCCCTAGATCGATCCACTAAGACGTTGCTCCCCGGCCTACAGAACCGCACTCCACATACCGGCATTGTGCCGCATCCCTAGCATTGCTACATCACTGGTCTAGGCAAGCGCATGCTAAATCCCACCAAGTCCCTGCGTACATCAGCCAAAGCCGGCTTATTGTAGTCGAATATAACCATGGCCACCGCCCCTAAAAAAAAACACTCGGGCACCTCGACCGACCGGAAAACCCCGCCGTCTTCTTCAACGGCAGCGCTTTAGAGGTAGGAGAGGGGCGGAGGCGATCTAGCCCCCCTGAGTTGGTAGACTTCCACCTTATATCATCATTCTAAAAAGATATACACTTGCTCTGATTTTGCATATTAAAGTTTTTGTGTCCAACTCACCTAAAAAAAAGTTCTTGTGCAAGGAGTACGTGTTGGTTTATGTGCAATGGACGAACTAAGTGGGAATGGTATACGAATTATTGGCCTGCTTTTTTGTTGAGAAAATTATTGGCCTGCCTGCAGGCGCAATTTCGATTCCCTCGTTCTGCTGTGCGCCACCCAAACCTACGTACGTACGTGCCCACAGCCATTTTCGCCACATAAAGCTATACTTGGAGTATAGCAATATCTTTTGTCCGGATGAAGCTGGAAGGGAACGTGAGCTGGAGATATAAAGCATGCATGCAAACAAAGTGGAGTGGCGATTACCGAACTGGTAAAGCGGTCAGATACTTCTGCCTAAACAGTTCAGTTTCCAAGCTAGCTAGCTCGATCAAGCCGTTGCATTGCACACCGTGTGCACGCGTTTTTTTAGTTTCAGTTCGACGAAAAGCAACTTTACAAAAAAGATTCCGCGTTCCACAGCAATCCATCTCGGTCCCGTCTCGCATCTAGTCTCTTCACGAATCATAAAGCAGATGGTCTATGATTGCTTGGCCAAAGAACAAATTAGCTGATGATGCTTACTTGGCCTGACAACAATATATAGTAGTAGTACTAAACTCTGGTGGCGGGTCAAATTAGAGCATCTCCAGCCGGACCTTTTAAACCCGTCTCATACATTCGGGCGGGTCGCCCAGTCACTGCCCGGTCACGATTTTTTGACCTAGACGGGTCCCTCAAATGGCCCGCAAATGTCTGAGCTGACCGGCATCCCCATATCCAGCTCAAATATGGGACGCCCGGGCACGTCCGCCACGTCAAACCCGGCCCACGTTGGCCCGCCTGACCCTACATAAAATCTTCCTCATCTGTTCGCCGTACCAAACCCCAGCCACTTCACTCCCCTCCCCTTCACTCTCCTCCGCCACCCAATCTCGTCTCTGACTCCTTCCGGTCGTCTCTGGCATGGCGGGCAGTGGATCCAAGTCCTTCACCTACAGATCCATCGACCCCGAGCTCATCCCATGCGGCCTTGAGGAGGAGATGGTCGTCCGGCTTGCGCTCCGCCGAGCCCGGGAGGAGGCCCGTGGACGGCTGCGCTATGACTCCATTCGTCGGAAATCCATTGCGTCCGCCCAAATGACGCATGGATCCGGCACTAGGCTGGCCGTAGATGCCTCGCCAAAGACCGTGGGGTCCGTCTAGCGCCCGAATGCGCTGGCGGACGTGCAACCCCTTCGAGGACGCGCCGATATTTAGGACGCATCATCGTCCCACGAGGCCATGGCACGACGTGTAAGACACCGGGCGCGGGAGGCGACGACATCCCTCGCGGCGGTGGACGTCGGCGAGGCGGAGTCGCATTCTCTCGCGCCCTGTATGGCCCATCAGTCCGGGCGCCGCAACCGCATCGCGATGGACGTCGGCAGCTCGTCTCCGGACTGATCCGTCATCGATTTGACATCTACCGGCACCGTTCGGGTTCCAGTCTCCGGCGAGAAAGAGTAGGGTATGGGATACGGCGGGGCCTTGAGTCCCGTGAGCCAACTCGTGTCCCATGCCCTATCCTACCTTGCCGGCGACTGGACCAACACTCTGAGGAGCGCACCCGGCCGCCGGACACGACCAGGGCAGAGCCGGGCGAGCGGGGAGCGGAACCGGCGAGCTCCGCTTAGATTAGGTTTCACGTTGCATGTAATAATATGAATATGAGATTTTTAATTTGAGGTATCCGAACATGGAATGCGTTTTTTAAGAGGGCAGATTTGTCAAGTCCGGGCTGTAGATACTCTTAGTTAACTCTCTTCCGTACACATTCGAAAAGAATGTCTTTAACTCTCGTTCTAGCAACCGCACGTACGCGTCGATAGAGGCCGGCCATGAGATTAAAAAGTGACAAAACAAAGGTGATTGTGATTTCAAATCAAACACGTGCTAAACCATACGAAGTGGGGCGGCACAAATGCGAGCAGATAAACCCAACGTGCGGATCAAAAGGCCTACGTCAACGTCGGGCAAATACGTATTTTCTATTCCCGGTGCACGTTCCGGGTGAAATACGTATCTTCCAAACGAAGACTGGTCGGGCGAGCTAGGCTAAGCTACCACCAGGCACGGCCAAACCTAGACAGGCTTCGAAAAGGCAAAGTCGTACGTGTAGTCCCGTCGAATCACATACGGACATACCCATCGAGCCTGACTTATCGCGCGCGCACAGTGCATGTGCGTATTTACATAGGCGTGCAGCTGTGTTTTTTTTAAACATCAATATAGACACAAGCACTCATATACACGTGCATACATTCAATTTTAGTGGGCTGAGAATACCACAGACTCTCTAACCATCCACCCACAGGTTGGTTCGCGACGTGCAACTGTGTTACGAGGATAAAACCACGTGTTTTTATTAGGTGAAAACGCATTTACTATGAGTTTCGTGGACGGGTGGGGCACCTACACACTGTATGCTACTAGCATCTCTGATCAAGCTGGCGGACACGTTCGGCGGCCCCGGGTCCCGACACATGGCCTGCGCACTGC